ATTGACCTTCGAATGAGCGAGGCACGCCAAATCTCATCGATTAGTTTTCAAATGTTTGGCACGTGGTTAGTCAATCCAGCAGTCCAGGCGCATCGGTAACTGTGAGTACCTCTTTATAAAGCCTCTACACAATTTCATAACAATAATATTCACACTTCTTTGCTCCCATTTTTAAGCATTTTTCGTGTCTTCTGGAAACACCTATTTGGCCTGAAAAGTAGTTCGAAACTACAGCAAAATGCGAAGTATAATAGTATGCATTTTGAGGCCCGATTTAGGCGATCTGTTTTACGAAATCAACTGAGAACTATGCACTTAAGCCATATATAAGTTTCAATGCCTGTTTGCTTTGCTGAAAATCGTGACACGCAAAGTAGAAGCGTCTTGTTTGGCCTAGAGTTAAGTAATTTTTTTAAAATACGAAGCACTTGAAGTAAAGTCGCCAGTGATGTAATTTTCGGCAACAGCGAAATCGCATACGGAAGAAAGCATGATACTACATTGGAATGTGTAAAAACTGCATATTTACTGAGTCCGGTGCAATGTTACCTTTCATTAAGTTTTTGACTAAGAATCCTCTCATACATAGTATGATCTGTGTAAATGCGGGTACTAAAATAATCCTTGGCAACACCTATTCTTGCTGATGCTTAATCTCCAACACAGCGTTATTACTGATGGTTTTAAGACAGAGGATAATTTTAAAGCTGACCCCGAAAGAGATATATCCATCGACATGTTTGAACTGACCTGCACTTATCAAAATGCATTACCCTTTAATTATAGAATGAGGAAACTATTTACTATTAGAAAATTAACTGGATATCCGAAGTTATTTTGATTAGGCTGTTTGTTTTAAAGATAGTACTAGAGGGATTTGTCCTCGAGAGATCGCAGATGACATTTCTGAGTACATCCACTTAATTCATATTCATTCTGTAAAAAGTACTAAATGCTGGCAATGGAAAAATCGAACAACAATAAACTTCGTTGAAGCAAAGCAAAATTAGGAGCGATTTCTCGGAAGGTTAATTTCAGAAATTTTAATAAAATCTATCCCACCCCCTACTATACGTGTTGTAAAGGCCAAGAGACCTATCAGCTTGCAAGCTGTATTACACCACAATTGTCTTCAGTAGAGGGGATTCGGGGAAGGCAGAACCTTCATTGGGGAAAATCCCCCATCAACAAGTCTCGTCTCTGTTATGTAAATAAATGTCGCACTCACCGTTCTATTTCTCTGTTACAAAATAATTTTGTGCTATAAAACTCTTTTGTCTTCATCCCTTTCTTGCTTTGCATTCCTTCCTATTATTTTTATTCCTATTTAATAGACATTACCTTCCCAAAAAGGTAATGCTTCTGTCAGATAATAATGGATAATGTGTGAATTGCGTAAATACTTCAGAGGAATAAATGTTAGCTCAATTGAGTATGGTATGTACTACAATAATCAGCACTTTAACACTTTGACTGCGGCTCTCAAAATAATCTGTTTGCCCCTGGGGCGACGTTTTTAAACCTGCATTACTTTAGGTCTAGGCGTGTACCATATATGGTGCACGTCGCAGTTTGAGACATCATTGCATGTACCACATATGGCGCACGTCGCAGTCAAAGTGTTAAACATGATTCTAGTAAATAGATTCCCAGTTCACTCAAACAGAGGAAAGTTAATAAGATTTAGAACTGGTATATAAGCCGAAGAACATTGCCGCTATAGATGAGCGAGTCTGGAATGGCCATTTCTGGCTTATTAGCTCTAATCGAACAGTTGTCCCCGACGCCAGGTGCTGCCCCCCCTGAGAATCGAACTCCCGACCTGTTTCTTAGAAGCCCAAGGCTCTAATAATTAAGCCACAGGCGATCGGGGATCCTGAAAATGATAGGGGGACGTCCATTAATTGCGTTGCTGAACGAACACGTTCCCTTGTGTCTTGGGGCTCTCGCTCGAGCTCCACCAGTAGCCGTACGGCAGCTCGTAACAGCTGGCTGGATAACAACCTCGATTAAGACCATTCTGGCTTGTGGGCCCGCTCCAATGAGTCATACCCAACCCCAGCTATAGAGCATCCGAGTTTTGAACCTGGGATCTTTGAGCAGAGAGCCGAACGCTCCACCATAGGGCCACCAGTCCGCTGTCCTGTCGAGTGTGCCAGAAATATTAATTATGGTTAATTGTACCACCTTATTTATCTATACTATTTATCGGTATGCGACTGCCTGTGAAGGTTCAGGTTTAAGCCTCAAGATACAACTCGCCGAGGAAGTTCGTAACCGAATTGGTTGATGCCAAATACGCCCTGACACACATTAATGGACAAACACTGGCTGTACATCACCGTGATGGCCTGTCCTTCGTCTTTGCGCACGCCCGAGTGCGACCGCTAATTCAATGATACGGAGATCACCGCCACTGCAAACACAAAAACGCACGAGAGAGAGAGAGTATCTCGAGACTTGGTATTCCACTGTGGGCAAAATCAATCGCGATGTTTGTGTGGACGTCCATTACGAGGGCCCACGATCACGGCTTAATGATCCCTACCACATCCCGCATCAAAGACCACCACAGTTCCACCGATTCGAGAAAAACCTCCACCAGCACAGGGTGTCAAAATGTTCTCAATTCTTCCCCCTCACTCAGAAACCTACTGTGAGGTCGTATCCGCCAATGATCTGTCCACCCTGTCACGCTCATCATCTCACTTTCCTTCATTCCGTCTGATGACGGGTTGTTATCACCAGCTCGAGATTTCACCAGTCTTAATCAATTTGCTCTGAAGAACCTATGCTTCATTACATCGGCTCGGAGTCGTGCCTATCGGACACGTTACGGAAAATTTCTAGTCCATAATTTGCTCGGTGAGGACCACTCAGTCAAAAGGACAAAAAGCTCGTGGCACGTTTCAGACTGTTCGACTCAATCAACACTATGCCGTTTTTAAATCTAAATTTTTCCACGCTTGTGATTGTGCGGGGCAGCCTGATGATGGCTAATAAGCCAGAAAGGGCTATTCCGGTCCCACTTGTCCTTGTCAGTATTCCCTTATCTGCCGTTAAGCGGCCGCTGACGGAGCTATGTAGGGACGAGTAAGTTCCGTAACCGATTAGTGAATGCCTATCTTCCATTATGTATATTCCCGATCAAAACCGGCAAGCCAACAAGCTCGTGGCGTAGTTGTTAGAGTGTTGGACTTCTAGTTAATAAGGTCGCGGGTTCGAGCCTCAGGGTCGACATCCCCGGGGCTGTACATGGTCAGCTACTAGGCCAGAAATGGCCATTCCAGTCTCCTTTGTCTTTGTTAGTAATGTATTTCAGCCTATGAAATAGGCTAGATCAAAAATTTTATTTATTTATGCCAAAACACTTTCACAGTTTAGACGTCGTTCCTTAAGACCGGTGTATACAATTTACTCCTGACAGTCGTTAATGAAGTTCAAGTCCCGTTTTTTTTCAAAACATAACTAGACTACATTATGTTAAAGTTATTAGCAATCGACCTGGGTTAACCAGTTGTGTTCTAGAAGAGTTCAAAAGGTGGACTTCACGCTTAATGAGAATGAGTGTTTGTTACCAATTTCATAAATATGTCCATTACACACGCATGTTGCGAATCACCCAACCCACACATGGGAAAGTGTCAGAGCACTTTGACGAATAAGGAGCGTAATGTCTGAAAGTTTATAGGTGAATAGTGCTATCCCATCCCATCTCCGGTCTGCCCTCTGTAACGTCCAGTCTTCTCGAGTATGTCTTGACACCCGGCCCAGTTGAAGAGGAGTGGAAAGATAGTGAAGTTGGTGCATTGAAAGTCTTATATCAGTATATTCCAAGGTAAGTCTCTGTCCCTGCACCACTTTGCCGTGGAGCACAAGATGGACCTCGTCGAAATCAACGGGCGAACTGTCGAATGATGCAGCCTGAAGTTGGCTTATTCTAGCATGTCATATATGCCTTTATGATACGAAAACCTATTCACACAACGTTTCTAAAAGTGTGAACGGCGGGACTTATAAAACTAACGGCTGACTATCCTTCTTTATTACGTAACCGCATCGTTGAGCTGAACAAAATCAAAATCCGCTTAAGACTTAAAATTTAACGACTCGCACCTGTCTTTAACTCGTTGAGTGAAAATGACAACCACATATTTTCTTCCGTTTGCCAATTTTTTCAACGCCCTCCACCAACGACGCAGTTCTGCCAATTACCTGCCGCCGAAACCGCAATATTCATTATCATTTACACAAGTAACTAGTGTCAACAGTAGTCACCGGGCATAGCGGGACACCTGTCGCAGGTCCTCGACCCTCAGTATTTGTAGCCACCCCGAGAAAACGGCAAAAGATAGAAATAAGTGGCACAACCCACAGGGAAGGAAAGCAATGGTTCCTTCCTCTATCGATTAAATTGGTCCACAAGAGCCTTTTTATCTCGACACTGAGGAAGAGTATGGCCTAGTCGTCATGCTAAGTGAAATTGACCAAACTTATTGAGTGGAATCGGTTACATCGTTTCTCGACGCTTGCGGGTGCCCGGATATGGGACTTAACTTTCGATTCGTTAAAGGTCAATCTTGATGATTATGATGGGGAAACCTAGCCAAACTAGACTAGCTGCTGCGGCTCACGCAAGTTATCATCCTCTTTCATTTATCCACAGGACAGTGTACTCTACAAATAAATAACACAATTATGGACTGAAGAGGAGCATTGCTGGTGCTCTCAATCCCTGTGGATTATACTCAGGTTAGTTCTAGGAGGAGCAATTACCATGCAGTAAGACTTAGTAAGGCATATGTTATGGGGCAGCATGGAGTTTCGTATCCAATAAACTGGGCCCAGTTGACAGGAGACACATTACAACTATGTAAATTGCGGGCGGTATGTATGAAACGTATGAACAACTTTCAAGGGAGAGTAATAATCACGCCTCTTATATACCTTTTTGCTTGTATTTGTAGCCTCGTCACGGTTGTCTGTAAACAGTTATCAAAATGGCAGACGTCTGTGCAAAATGTGGCAAACCCTTTACTTCGGGTTCCATTTTAAGCGCTCTTGATAAGAAGTGGCATCCAAATTGTTTCAACTGTGCCAACTGTGGAAGTAGCTTGGCAAGCCAACCGTTTCATGTGAAAGACGACGTGCCCTACTGTCCTCCCTGTTGGACGGAAAAGTTCCAGCCCAAATGCGCGGTAAGTTCTGCCAACAGGCTGGATTTCAAAATAGAATGTTTGTGGAATTCGGGGGGTTTACGTGCTTCCCAAATTTCTACATTACGCAAGAAAGTTCAGGCATATAGTAGAAAATCATTTCAAAGTAGCCGCAAGCTAGGTCCCGTCAGTTTCCGAGGGCTTTGATCATTATACCAGAATAAATTATTTTGAAAATTATCCACAGTAAGGGGATAGTGGAGGAGGTTAACTTTATATCCCCTGGCTGCCTACTGTAAACCGGCACAGCATGGGTTGGCAAGCGGCAAAAACAAAAGCGGCCTAATAATTGGCTAGTCGCTCATTCCGTTAGCACCCCAACGGAAACAAGCGAGCGAGTCGTCGTCAATAAAGTCCCCGGTTATGTTGGTCAGGTGTGTGTAAGTTCGACCACCACAATCGATGATGTCCACTATTTGCCCGAGAGCAGGGACGGTGACTGCGACCAGGTATAGTGAAAGTAGACAAGCCGCCATCTACCCCACTCTATCCCTCACCCCGCTTGAAATGGTGAAAAGACAAGGACAAGATGACCGAACAGGGATCAGACAGTCGGGAGCACCAAAGAACATCAGTCCTACAGCGCTACGGATGGATCAGTGAGCAAGTATTTGTTAACAAGTTGGTCATTTCAGCTTTTGAAGTTCGTAAGAAATTAATTTATTTCCGCGGTATTGATTAGTTTGGTTATCGACCGAAATGGGCTTATGGCTAGTACCTGCTCTGCCATTAGGATAAATTACACCAAAGCCCATTAGCAGCATATGCATGTTACACATTTATTCCGCAGTGGCTGATGAAGTTAGACCAAATATATGCGTAAAAGTTCGGCCTATGCTAATAAACTTTGAATAAATATACCTGTACTGAACATAGAAATTAGTTTATGGTTTCGTATCTAGGCTTTGAGCTAGTAACTGGACTGCCACTGCGGTAAGGTACAAAGTACATTTGGGCACTGTGAGTGCACCTGTTTGTGTTTCGCTTTGAAAATGTCACTGAGCACCGTGAATGGCTGAATGGAGTCATAAAACGCACACAAAAAGGCTGTTATCCAGCTCGACACTCATTCTGGTCCTGTGAAGAAAGTGCCAGTATATATTCTTATAGGGCACGGCTTATGTACAAGAAAGAGAAGCCGACTAAGGCAGTCAAGGGGGAGGAATATTATGATCTATAAACAAGTGACTGAAGAACGGCGAATAACTGAAAAGTAAGAACGATCGAGGCACCAAAAAGGAGAGGTCATTTCGACTATTTCATCAAAGGTTGCCATTTATCTCCAGCGCAGGCGGTACTGTTGTTCGCCCTGACAAAATTGCAGTGTCATTTTATTCGGTCACTTGTCCATGGTGCACAGTGTGTTGTTGGCCTACCCTGGCCTTTGTGACTGATCAGTATTTCATGCGCCCTTTTAGAAAATTACTGACGAATTTCAGCACTGCCGCATCAATGTAAATGAGAGAATTTCCGCTGCCTAACGCGCTATATATAATTAAAAGCAGTGCGCCTGGCCTATATGAACAAATCAAGGCCAATCCAGCTACAACTGCAGCTGTTCGGGCTGACAAGCAGCATTCTTTATTAACGACAAACGCACGTGCATAAATCCACTGGCTAAAATTGGTTGCAAAGTTCAGGCCCTTGGCCAACGGCGGTGACATACTGTGCCATTGAAGTAGAATATATAAGAAGGCCGATAGTCGAGAATGTGTTTACGCGTTAATATCGCCAGATAAGATCCCGTGTTGCGTTAAGGTTCAAAAAAGAGCGTGTGGTAGGAAGGTCTTAAAAACTGAAGGAACAACGGTGGCTGTTCAAGTAACAGGGTAACACCTTGAGTATCGGATAGGGCAAGCAAATTTTGTGAACAACTTATCAGTGTTTCCCACACTCTGTCTGCGGGAAAACCTCCTAACCCAGGCTTAAAAACTGAATCCTAAGTTCTAGTTTTCATTTTTCGACCAACATTCTCCCACCCAAGGGATTCAAAAACATGTGGAATATGATTATCGTAGTGATAAATGGCAGGAGCAAGTAACCATTTTGTAGTAAGTAACACTTGCTACGTGGTTTTAACCATTACTGCATCAAAGGCCACATGCCTGAATCCAGGGGTTCACCTTTCAGCATTAACTGATCAGCGGCTGTTATAAGAAGTTCACGTCGCATTCATCTTAATGGATGCTGCTGAAACCCCATTCGCTCAGTCACAACGGTCGGGTCACTTCTTTAAGGTGTAAACTGTTGCAACAAGATGAAAATTCGAAACCCTAGTTTAAACGAATAAACGCCATGTGACCGGAAGTACTGGCGATCCACCGATTTAAACTACTTTTAAGAAGGTTTAGCTTTAGTTTCAGTGGTTTTGTATTCATTAAATTTATTCCAAAAAGGTTGGTTGTGTTGAAGAGCATTTTTGGTTTGTTTATTGTAGATAAATACACAGTTTTAGGTGACAGCCAGTAGAGAATGTTTCGGTCAGGCAGTACTGAATGTATAAAGAGTATAGTTTCTTTTATGACAAAGTTGTGTTGCAGATGCGTGACTTTCATCCTCACTGTTTTCTTGCACATAGTAGTAGCAGTTTGCATCAATCTGAGCATCAGGAACCGGTGATATTCACATCCGGTGGTCAATGAACAGAAATCTTTGCGCGATCCAGTCCCATAAGCTATCGGAAAGAAAATCCTACCGTATGCTACTTCTTAGATTAGTTTTTTTCGGCGGCGGTGTCAACTTGCATAGAAATGCAACAGAACTCCCCTTCGGGTGAACGAAGAGCATGATTGGATCAACTGACACTGGAGTCCGTTACTGCCATATCGGCAATTCTTCCCGACCGCTTGTGGTGTTGGATTTTCTTTCGAGATGTAGTCCGTGAGCCAAAGTCGCAGTTTGCGTGAGAGACCGATTTTAAGGCATAATCATCTGTTTTCAGTCAGTGGCAAGTAGAACTCACACTTCAGTGCAGTGATACCAGACGACATGTTCGCTTTCCGTTAGATATCTCGAAGAGTTAAGGTGGGAAATTAGGGAAATTATAAAAGGACAACCGATTGGGTTTACTTAGAGCGGTGCCTTCTCTTGACTGTTTTAAGGTCGGTAATACAGAGGTT